CCAGCTTGCCAGCTTGCTCTGAGGACCCTTGTCTCTGTCTTCTGAGGCTGAAGTGTAGGCAGGCCACCACACACAGCTGACATTTTTATGTGGTTCTGGTTTTAACCACTGGACCATTTCCTCAGAACTCTTCCTGTCTTTTTGACACAGGGTCATGCAACCCAGGTTGGCTTTGAACTTGTTGTAGTTGAGGATGATCACGTGTGAGTGTGTGTGTGTGTGTGTGTGTGTGTGTGTATGTGTGTTTAATAAATTTGCTTCTTCCCTGAAGCCAAGGACCAAACCTAGTCTAAACATTCTACTACCCAGCTAAATCACTAACCCCTGAGAATGACCGTGGAAGTCTGATGGTCCTGCCTCCATTTCTGGAGTTCTAGAATTTTAAGGATGTGCTACTATACCTGATTTACCTGTTATTGGAATTGGACCCAGGGCCTTGAGCTTGCCAGGTAAATACTCTACTAAAGAGGCTGTATCCCCAGCCCCCTATTTCCACTGAGTAGCTAGGACTAGAGTTGCTGAATCTTACTGTTAATTTATGTGTAAGTAAAAACAAAATCTGCCTGTGTCCAAAGGAGCTGTCCGCCATTTCCATCAGCAGTGTGTTAAGGACTTCATGCCCTTGCTGAAACTTGCCCTCGTCTGTCCTTGGGATGTGTTCCTTCAGTGGGTCTCTTTTTTGCCGTTTGAATTTCTGTAGTTACAAGTGTTACGAAGCATATTTCCTGGGCCATCACTTAGCTCCCTTAGTGTTTGTTTCAAATCCTTTCATGTTGTAAAAATTCGGTTCTTCTTTTCCTTTGTTGTAAGAGTTCCTTGTGTATCCAAATGTAGTTACTTAGCAGATTTGCAAGTACTTTCTACAGGTTTATGACTTGTCTTTTTTTTAACAGTATCATTTAAAATGTAAAACTAACATTTTGATGCAACTCATTAATCTTTTTTGTTTGTGAATTTTAACTAAAAAGTCTAGCTTAACCCAAGAGCATAAAGATTTTCTCCAAAATATTTTATCATATTCTTTTTCTTCTTATATGTAGGTGAAAGCATTGGTTCATTTTGAGTTAACTTTTGCACATGGTGTGAGGTAAGGGTTCAGATGAATCTTTATTCCTTGTACATGTCTAATAAAGCCAACGTCACTTGTTGAGAAGATGGCTCCTATATTACTGCTAAAAATTTTGTTGTATTTGGGCATGAGGAGTTCATTTACAGGAGGGGTAGAAAAGGCTCTGTGCTGAAGTTCTAAATGCCAACACGAGAGAGAATGAGCATCTGGCTGATGCTTTAAAGAATAACTTGGACCACAATGTATTTTGTTTCCTTCATCTCCCCCATTCCCTCCCCTACCCTGCACTGAACATCTGCTTCTCTCTTGTGAGAGGAAGTGAAAGATTTAGGTCAGGCATAAAAACAAACTATCTTTAAGGCTTTCTTCCCCTTTAAAAGCCCCCACCCATGACCCTGCTGGGTCAATTAAGCACCGAAGCATACTTGTATGAATAACTCTAGAGTGAATTTTACAAGTTGGCTTTTCCCAGGAAGAGCAGTTGAGGCTCCTGTGTCTAAGTATTGTGAAATTAAAAGCTTGCCTCTTTAGAGGATGCTGACAAGAGCTAAGGGAGACCATTCTTCAAGTGTCACAGGACTTTGTCTTGCCTTTTTATTTTTTTTAAAACTGATATGTATACTACAAGAAACATCTGAAGAGGATCTGTGGAGCCAGGAATTTTCCATATTCAGATCTTACTTGTGCCTATGATGGGCTTGATAGTGTAGAGGGAGAGACCAATATTCTTGTGGAAGTCTGACTCTAGAAAAATATTATTTTTCATAAAGGCCATAAAGATTACATTTTCCTGCACAGAAATGTACAGGGCTCTTTAGTGGCAGCTGATGTAGTGGTTATAACTACAGTATTCTCATATGTACTCTGCCACTGCCAAATTCCCCTACAATTAGGGTTATGCCACCGCCACCACCGCCACCACCGCCACCACCGCCACCACCGCCACCACTGCCACCATTGCCTCCACTACCCTGTAAAACAATAGCTGACATGTATCACTTACCTCTACACTATTGTGCTGTTTTCTCTATTTTAATTCATTTAACTGTGCCTTAGATACATAAATGCATTTTTTTGGAGGGACTAAAATGCAGAAACAATTAAGTGGTATCTGGAGAAGGAGAGCCTCTACCTTCCAAAAGAGCTTTGAGCCAGAAAAACCACTGAAGACTGTCGTTAAGGGACAACAGCAGAGCCCTCTCAGCCCTTCGTTTTCTTCTCTTTTTTCCTTGTGATTTTTAAAAATTTAAATTAGAAACACTCTTATTTTACATATCAATTCCAGTTTTCTCCCCCTCTCCCCCTCCCATTCTCCCCACCAGCCTCCCCCCCCCCCATCTATTCCCCAGGGAGAGTGAAGCCTTCCATGGGGCATCATCAAAGTCTGTCACATCATTGGGGAAGGGTCTAGGCCCTCCCCAGTGTATTTAGGCTGAGAGAGTATCCCTCAATGGAGGAATGGGCTCCCAAAGTCCATTCATGCACTAGGAATAAATACTGGTTCCACCGCAAGAGGCCCCATAGACTGCCTAGGACTCCTAACTGTCACCCAAGTTTAGGGGGCCTGGCTCAATCCTATGCTGGTTTCCCAACTGTCTCGCTGGGTTCCATAAGCTCCCTCTTGTTCAGGTCAGCTGTTACTGTGGGTTTCTCCAGCATGGTCTTGACCCCTTTGCTCATCATTCCTCCCTCTCTACAACCAGATTCCAGGAGTTCGGATCAGTGCTTAGCTGTGGATCTCTGCTTCTGTTTCCATCAGCTACTGGATGAAGGCTCTAGGATGACATTTAAGGTAGTCATCAGTCTCATTATAGGGGAAGGGCATTTAAGGTAGCCTCTCCACTATTGCTTAGATTCTTAGTTGGAATCATCCTTGTAGATCTCTGGACATTTCCCTAGTGCCAGATTTCTCTTTAAACCTATAATGGCTCCCTCTATTAAGGTATCTCTTTTCTTGCTCTCTATTTATCTCCCGAGATCTTCCTGATCCCTCATGTTCTCATCTCCCCTCCTCTTCTCCACTTCTCTTTTTCCTACCTCCCTTCTCTCCACTCCCTTGTGCTTCCAATTTGCCCAGGAGATCTTGTCCCTTTCACCTTCTCCAGGGGACCATGTATGTCTCTCTTAGGGTCCTCCTTGTTTCCTAGCTTCTCTGGAGGTGGGGGTTGTAGGCTGACAATCCTTTGCTCTATGTCTAATATCCATATATGAGTGAGTACATATCATGTTTGACTTTTTGTGACTGGGTTATCTCACTCAGGATTGTTTCTTCTAGTTCCATCTATTTGCCTGTGAATTTCAAGATTCCATTGATTTTTTTCTGCTGAGTAATGCTCCATTGTGTAAATGTACTACATTTTTGTTTTATCCATTCTTTGGTTGAGGGGCATCTAGGTTGCTTCCAGGTTCTGGCTATTACAAATAATGCTGCTAAGAACATGGTTGAACAGATGTCCTTGTTGTAGGAGTGTGCATCCTTTGAGTATATCCCTGGATTTTCTTTAAACTTCTAGAATTCAGCTGAGACAAAGAAATAAGTAGAAGGAAACACTTGTCTCTATTTTCTTTGGTTTAACATTTTTTGTAAGTTTACAGTTTTTATAACTTTAAAATTGGATTTTAAAGTGAACACCCAAAATAATGGTCTCCTGGAGAATAGGCATGAGAAGCTTCTTTTGCACAGGTGGTGACTGGTGGAGCAGGAGACTTTCCCCATAGATGGGCTCTCTTTCACTGATCCATTAGTGCAGACCTGTAGTGTAAAGCCTGACTGTCCCCCAAGGGCTGGCGAATGTGTTAAAGGTGTGGTCTCCAGCCTGCCGTGTGACTGGGAGCTACTGGGGCCTTAAAGAGGAGGAAGTGAGGTCTCCTGAGTTGTGTGCTGTTTCAGCTTCTTTTCTTGTGACAAAACACCCTGACAAAAGCTCCTGCAGTGAGAAGGGTTTGTTTTTGCTCACAATTCAAAGCATCATGGGAGGGAAGTCAGGCTTGGGATTGCAGTGGCTGGTCACTTGTATCCACAAAAAGGAGCAGAGAGGGCTGACCACATGCTTGCCATGCTCGGCTCTCCGTTTTCATATGGTTTAGGACCACCTGTACAGGGAATGATCCCAGCTGCAATTATGATGGGTCTAAATCAACAAAGGTCATCAAGAATTAAGATGATCCCTCACAGGCACACCCAGGGGCCTGACTCCCAGGTGATTCTAGACTCTGTCAAGATGATAATTAACACTAACACTTGCCCTTCAGGGGCCTGACTCCCAGGTGATTCTAGACTCTGTCAAGATGATAATTAACATTAACACTTGCCCTTCAGGGGATGTTGGGATGGAGGCCCTTCTTGGCCTTTTCCTGACCACCATTAGGTCAACAGGCTTCCTGTGTCATGTGAGTCCTCCCTCACATACTGTGAATCCTTCCTCACATACGGCGCCACTACACACCCAAAGCAGTAGGGTTAGACAATCTCTGATTGAAACCTCAGAGTCAAAAGGAAACTTTAAAGTTTTCCTTTAAAATTCCTCAGGTGTTTTGTTCCAGTAATGAAAAGCTGACAAGTGTGTTGGGCAATTGAAACATGACTCTACAATGGTAGCTTATCTAAAATTTAGGCTTCTCTTTGACTGCTGGCTCCTGATCCATTCCCCCCCCCCCCCTTCCTAGAGTACTTACTTCAGCAAATCTTCTCCTGGCCTTATGCTAATTTTATAAACCAAGAATGTTGTCCTTCAGGGTTGAAGGACTTCTATTGAAATGTAACCTTCAAGTAAAAAGATAGGGCCTCTGTCTCTTGGTAACTGCCTGAGGAACAATTTCAGAGAGCCAACTGGCAAACAGATGGCCATTTTACCTTGACAAACCTCTTTCCAGTGTCCTTTATATATGCTCACTTTGTCACTGTTTATGTTTAAAAACTCCCCTGCCATGTTTGCTTCAGCAGCATGTATACTAAAATTGGAACAACCCAGAGAAGATTAGCATGGACCCTGCACAAGGATGGCATTCAAACTCACAAAATGTTCCATATTGCTTTTTACTAAATCAGCACAGTCCCTAACTACTTTCTAAATATTTGTCCTTATATCCACAGTTAAGCATAGCCCTCACACCTTATCAAGGAGATTTCTCTTTGCAATAGATGGAGGCCATCACTGAAAACTACAACCAATCAAAATACAGAGATGAGGAGCCCAGTTCTAATGGATATATCTACAAAACAGCTCCCACATCTAAGGCTCAGGGAACATTTCAGGAGGAGCAGAAAGATTGTAAGAGCCAGAGGATCAGGGAGTTTGCTGTGAGATTGTGTCTCCTAGTAGCATCAGAAGCTACACCCATAAACTTTCACTATTACTGCTTAAACATGAGCTGAACAAGGACAACAATAGACATGCTGACATGGATGGGGGAAAGCCCATGAGGCCTCAACCCTACACAAAGAACTGTAAGTAACTAAGAATGCTGAGAGTGGGGGAAATAGTCTTCTTCAGGGAAGATCTCACCAAGTGGTTATCCAATGCTAAGTGGTCAACCCTGATAACACACATCCAAGTAACGTTATATAGACAGAGCACGTTGTATTTAGGAGTACATACGTGCATATACATATATACACATAATAAGAAGGAAAAAGGAGGTCTTGACTTTGAAGGATAGCAAGGAGGATATATGGGAGAGTTTAGAGGGACCAAAGGAAAGAGGGAATTATGGAATTATATTATGGTCTTAAAATGAAATAGTATTTTAAACACACACACACACACACACACACACTCCTTCTGTTTAAAGGGAATTGAATTTGGTCTCCTTTATCACACCAGGCTTCTACTGGTAGTAGTCTCTTCCCCCATATAATATTTTTATTAGTTTTCTTTAAGAATTTTATCAATGTGTTCAAAGCATTTTGATAATTTTCACTCCACTCCTCTTCCTAACTCCTTCCAAATCCACTCCCTCCTGACTCCATGCCTTTCCCCATTTCAACTTTGTGCCCTCTTTTTACTTGTTTGTATCTCTTTTTTCTTTCCTTCCTTCCTTTCTCTCTTTTATGAGCCATTAAGTCAAATTTGTGCCGCCCATCTACTCATGGGCGGGAGGTCATTTCACGGTGAACCTACCCTTGTCTTTTAAGGTTCATGTTCTTTTTTTCCCCCCTCAATACATGTTTTTAATTTAAATAAGAAACATGCATGATTCACATGTCAATCCCAGCTCCCTCTCCCACCCCTCCTCCCTTGGTCCTCCACCAGCCCCCCAGCCTCCCACCCAATCCCCACATCATTCCCCAGGGAGGGTGAGGCCTTCCTTGGGGGGAATCTCCAGAGTCTGTCATTTCATTCAGGGCAGGACCTAGGCCCATCTCCATGTGTCCAGGCTGAGACAAAAACAACCCTCCCCAAAACAAAACAAAACTGAGTGCCCCTCCTCTAGAAGCCACCAACTGCCAATAGCTCCCCAGCTAGGGGTGGTGGCTAGTGAACCCCTCTCCTCTCCATGCTGGAATGTTGACTGGCTTGATATTGTGCAGACAGCAACGGCCTCCAGAAATTCATGAGTGCAGTGGTCCTGCCACACCCAGAAGACCATTGTCACAGCAGTCTTCCCTGACCTGTGTCTCTTATAATCCTTCTGTCCCCTCTTCCTTGATGATCCCTGAGCCATGGGGGAGGGGTATAATGAAGTTGTCTCATTTATGGCTGAACACTCCACATATACTGACTCTCTGCCCTTTGACCAGTTGTGGGTTCCTCTGTTAACTTTTGGTCATTTATTGCAGCAATCTTCAATGATGTGTTTGTTTGTTTAACTCTACCTAGTGGAATCTTTCTTTGACGTATAGAAACTTGAATACTATTTTCCTTAACTAACTAATTCCCCAGCAAGTTTGAAAAACCAATAACTCAGAACACAGGATAGCTTTGCCATGGTACGTTGTTACTTGGAGTCATTACTGGGGTCCTGTTATATGAAATATTTCATATACTTTAATTACATTTAACAAGTCTAAAAACAAACTACTTCCCATCTTTTCTTGTTAAGAGATATCCTAGATACCCCAAGCATAACCAAGTAATTTAATACACAGAAAGTACATATATACAGACACACAATAATAGCTATGTATTTTTTTCAGGCCTGATACATGCCACCCATTATATGCTTTTTTTTTTTTTACGTATAGCACTTCATAAAAATTGCTTCATTTAGTCTTTGTAGCATCTCTGTGTTAGGTCAATTTTTTATTTCATAAACCATGAAGCTGAGACTCAGAGAGATTGAGTAAGTGCTATAAATCATAGAACTTGTACAGGTCGCATGTGTGACACAACCCAGGCAGCCAGTCCTGAGAGCCTGCCACAGTTATCCTTTAAGGATGCACTGAGCTATCTGCCAGGATTCTGCCCCAAATCTACAGTCCCAAAGGAGCCAAGAAAGAGCTTGCTGTGTTTTATCTGCATTTTACTTTCCAGAGGCACTGTAGGAAATCTGACTGCTATGTGAAGGTTCTCATCTCAAAGCCACCTGCTCCCCCTTTCCTTTGTGTCTGTCACCTGTCATTCTACTTTGTGGCAAGCTGTGCATTCCTGGAGCAAGGCAGTCAGGCTGATCCTGGCTCGGGACTGCTCAGCCAGAGACTTCTGGGGATCTCCCATGAGGCTTCCAGCACTTCCTCAGTGGAACATGAAGACAGAGTGGTTTCCTGTTTGATTCATATGTCAGAGGAAATTCCAGCATTTTCTCAACCATCTGTGCTCTGCAGCATTGAGCGATGAGCACAGATCAAATAATATACCATTGTATAAACATTCGTGAGATGATGACATCATCACAAGGCACAATAACAAGAGCACCAGGAAGTACACAGCAATGACTTCTACCTCAAAATGTCACCACAATAAACCACTCTCTGTTAAAATGCCTGTCTTTTTAGCTTCCAAGTGTCACTTTTTCCTTATATTTATGATTACTGTCACCCCTAGATACTTGCCAGTTGATGAGGTGTTTTATATAAATCAACAGATGCTGTCCAAGACAAGGAAGATTAAGCAATTAAATTTTTTCAATGAGTATTTTGTGAAAAATTTGGAAGAAAAAAACTTACAAGCCCATCAACCTAGAATAAGCTTACTTGTCCCCCCATTTCCTACCCTATTCTGATTTCTCACTCTTTTATTCTAAAGCTATATTGTTTCCAAGAAGAAAATAAAACCACGGACATTGCCAAAAATGAATTTACAACTTTAAGGGCAACACAAATGTGAAAATTAAGCCAAAAGAATATTGAAAAAAAGAACCAGATAGGCTATGGAATGATGATGATAATAGGATTCTGATTATCCTATTTTAAAATGAGAAATAATGAACATTCACATAGAGTCATCTTCAGAAAGCAGTTGAGTCTTGATCTCAGGCCTTCAAGGGGACAAGCTATGGTTATGTAGTGACTGTAGGACAACACATGGATCAGCACACTGGTATCAGTCAATGGCTAGTTGAGTCCAGGTACTAAGAAAATAGTCTGGAGTTGAATTATTATTGCAGTTTTCCTAGTTCCTGACTTCCAGAATCACCACTGGGACACATATGGCCTAGATGGTCACTCTACCTTGGCTCTCACTTGCTGCATATCTGTAGGCAAGTTAATTTCCCTATGTTGTATCCTCATTTATGACACAGGGAATGCAGGTTGTTATATAAATAAGATAATCCATCTCATGTGTTTAATACAGACCATGTTTCTCAAGTCCCTAAGAATTGTTAAGCTCATTAGTTGTAGCATAAGGTAGTCAAGAGACCAAGTAAGCATAGTATTGAGATTGCCCTGGACATCTCATGGCTTTATACTACTTGATTGTAGGACCCAATCATTAATAATTTCCAGAGTTTAAAAATGAACCAGCTTTCCCTTTGAATTGCTTTATAATAACCATGAATTTATCAGTCAAAGAAAATGTCTATCAAGTGCTTCTGGGATTCACTGGTTCTGATGAGGAAGCTGGTAATGGACTCTTTAAGTGGCAGGTACTTTATTATTAATGAAGACCATTGAGATGGCAAAATTAGAAACTAGCAAGCACTTTTTTACTTTAGAAAACACCTGGTGTCATTACAACTTGACCTTCCACAGCTCCCAGAGCTGACTCTGTGACACCTGTCAGACACAGAAAACCTGCATGTATATAGAAATCTCAAAGTCTCTTAATCCAGTATTCCATGTTCATTGCCCAAGATTAGACTTTTTTTGTTTGTTTTTCGAGACAGGGTCTCTCTGTGTAGCCCTGGCTGTCCTTGAACTCAGAGATTCCTGTCTCCGCCTCCTGAGTGCTGAGATTAAAGGTGCTTGCCACCATACCCCACCTAGAATAATTTGTTACAGAATATGTTTTAGGAGCAACTTTAATTTTATATTACAATATTAAATGATAAAAACAGAAAGCAGAAATAAGAAAATAATAAAAATTCAACATTTGATGTACTTCCTCTCAGTTTTTATAAAATATTTCTAAACACTAGTAGAGTTTCTTTCTTTTTCACTGCTGTGATTGAACCAGAATGAACAAACTAAGCAAGTGCTCGATCGATGAGTTGTATGCCCATCCCTCTTTTTACTTTTTATTTAGAGACAAAGTCTCACTAATTTGCCTAGGCTGCCTTGAGCTTCCTTGGTACACCTCACGTGTCACCCTCCTGCTCCTTCTTCTTGAGTAGTTTAGATTACATGTCTGCATTACCAGCTCCATTCATAATTTTAATATGGGTATTTAAGCCCCAAATTCTTAAAGAATCGTTAGATCAGGTTTGTTTCATTGGGTTGGTGAGTTATGTTGGAGGAATCTATGGTTCAACACTACTGTCTGGTTTGCCTGAATTCTGGTAAGATGGGAATTTGTTACTCACTGTGGTCTGGGAATCAGTATTATCAGCATAAACTGAGAACATCTTAGAGATAAGGAATTTTATCCCCTCCCCAGACCTATCGGATCCTAAACTGCATTGTAAAATGATTTCTGGGTGATTTATACTCACATTA